TCAAGTCCAGAAATGACAGCTGTCACCAGAGCTGGTGGGGCTGCAGTCTCCTGTCAGGCAGGATATAATGAGAGACCAAAGGGCCAGGCTCTGCAGGCCTAGTTCAGTCCCCAGCACAGACAGACCACAATGGGTAAGTACAGGACATGTCTGAGGAGCAACACGGCTGCTCCCCTGGCCTGGTCCTCTGGCTGATGGGCCACTGGGCCACAGCAAGCCTCAGCAGGCAGGACACACACAGCAGGGCAGGTGAGGAGCACTAGCACACCCGTGGAAAGTCTCCTGCCTGGTGGAAGCCAAGGGGGAGCTTGTGTCCCCCCAGCACCGGGAAGCATCTTTCCTGAGCTTCTGCAGGTGCTTACAAGGAACAGGTATTTATCGGTTTTGTTGTAGGAGCCTCAGAACAGCCGGGCAATAAAAGCCACTGCAGGAATTCCAGGCACCTCCCTGCAAAGTGCTGAGGCCAGCAGATTTATTCCCAGCATTTTATGATCTGCGACAAGCCACAGGAGCCTCCGTGCAACTGTTCTGCTGGCATGTGAACCTGCGGTGACTCAGGGACAAGGCGCTCAGGGGCTGTCTTGGTAGGTGACAGGAGTTGGCTATAAAATAAACATGCAGGAAAAGTGAATCCCCAGCTCTCTGGATGTTCAGCCTACAGGCAGCCCTCATCCTGCCTCTTTCAAGCACCCAAGGACTTTGCATCTCTGTGCCCCAGCTTGTGCATCTGTAAGATGGGTTTCATGATCTCACCCTGCTCTTGCGCTGCTTTGGTATCTGACCACCTGAGCAGCTGGTTTTGTCATGACTGCCCTTCAGGGCAGCACTGGCTCAAGAGGGAGAGAAGCAGAGCTGGAGGCATGATCTTGTTTTCTGGGAAACACATAATGTACTTTCCTGGAGAGTATTTATGAATACTTTTGCTTAACTTTCATGTCTATCTGCACAGCAGTTCTCTGCCTACCTCCACTTGTGAGTACAAGGTATGAGGGATGCTCTGCCACTAACAGAATTAATTATGAAAAAAAAAAAAAAAGTCCTAGGTATTTTTTTTTCGCTGGGAGAAATTAGACTTGGTTTTGGTTTCCTTCCTTCCTTTTACAGCCAGGGCACCATGTCTGTCTTCTTTGCATTTGTTTACTGCAACTAGCTTGCAAGTCCCCTCAGAAGACATGGCATGGCATGTCTATGTGTCTTTTTTCATCCATTGAAGGGAAAATGCACAACTGTTACAGCTCATCTACAGATGATTTATCTATGCAGGCCTAGTGGGTGCAGGGATTAGCAAAACATGTTTTGCCTGCCAATCTCTAATCAAGAGGCCAGATTCATTGGCGCAGAGGTGGCTTTGCTGTGCTCCAGAGAGGCAATGCCTCTGCTGAAAATCAGGAGAATTTAGCCAAATTCAATTTACAGGTACAGACCTTGCAAGGTGAAAGTAAGAGGCAGAGTCTACAAAGAAAAATTACAACCTGCTAGGATCCAACCCTGCTTTGGAGGAAAAGGCTTAGTAAGAACACTGCAACAATGAGAAAACTGTAACAGAAGTTAACAGTCTGGAAAGGAGAAATAACTGATGTGTGCAAAGTATTCCCTTAGGATGTGTATTTCTCCCATATATTTTCTACTTTGCTGCATCTTTCCCAAACACATAATGGCAGCTTCAATAGCTTATTAACCTTTCTGGCACAAGTTTGTTCTGCAGTGAGTATGAAGAGACCAAATCCCTGACGTGGGGGAACATACTGTGTGTGTTTTTTCTGGTTCTTTTCTACTTTTCCTTGTCATAGGAGGGTGGGTTTGTTTTGGGTTTTTTTGCAAAATGGAAGCAAAAAGCATTTCTTCCAGTCTTGGCAGAATTTTATACATTCATTTGTATGAGGTTCAAAGCAGCTGAGACACATCCCAACTACCTAGCAATGGTTAAAGACAAAACAGGCAGTGGAAAGTAAATAGTGTTAAACATATACTTGTGAGCTCAGTGGGGAAAAAATGGAGCTTTACTGTCATATTTTATTTGCAAGTTCTGTTTGACTGCAACACCTGCTTTCAATATGATTAACTCTTACTTAGCATGCAATTTTGGCACTAACTACTTCTGATTTACTTCACTGGAGATGCTTTGTTCCAGTGACAGAGGTATTTTGCTAGTCATCTTGTGCTGGAGACATGCCTAATGGGGCAGAGCTAATTTGCCATTTGCTTGGGTTAATGAAGATACACACTAAAAAGATTATGAGGAAAAAAAAGAACTAGTGCATGAAAGATTAAGAAACCAGCAAACAATTTACAGTAAAAATACAAAGAGTAAGACCTCTGTGCCTTAGGCATTTTTGTAGTATCTTTCATCCCAACACAGTTCCTGTAGTGTCGTAGCAGCTACGTGCCATTGCCTAGTGACATTACACATTTCCATCAGGCCACACTAAGTTGTGAGGACAAGCAATGGGGGACCAGAATCCCCATTTGAGAGAGGACACTGCTGGTACATCTAGCCCAGCCAGTGCCAGTCAGGACTTGCTAACCCATATTCGGGGGATGTTACTGCAGGGGGGGACTTGTGCCACAGCAGCAGCAAGGTGGGTTGAGTGGTGCTGTGTAGTGCCCACTGCTTTATTTCATACCTACATTTCCATCTGTCCCCACCAGTGTCTTCCCAGACAGAGGACGCCCTGAAAGCCAGGCGGCCACTTCTGCTCCTGGTTGAGTTTTATAGGCTTTATGCCAACCATTCCAGTTGGCATCCTGAGGAAGTGGGAAGCAACCACACCAAGCATGTGCCCCTTTTTCTCATGTGCACCATCCCATTACGCTGACACACAGAAAAGATGCCTGCTGCAGGAGCCACTTCAGCAACACACCTTGGCAAGCACATCCACTCTGTGTCACATCTCTCTGGAAATACTTCCCAAGGGCCCTGTGTAGCCAGGCTGCAGTTCTCTCAGTCTGCATGTGGACCTCCCACCAGCACTGTAATCCTGCCTTTTATTTCAGTCATGAGCCTTCAGGTTGTCTGTGAACATGGATATGACACTTCTGAGTGCAAAGAAGCTTTTCTTTATGGCTGCTGCACCGATTAAACCAGGACGTTTTCCTTCCAGTATCCTTCCTTTGACATTTTCATTCCAGTCTTACTCAGGTCTTTGCTGCTGCCTTGCCTAATGCCTTGCATTATTTTTTTTTAAACCAACTGCTGCGATTGCAATGGAGCTTTAGCTCATAACAGCAGAATTGAGGAAAATAAAGCAGGAAGCTGGTTTATCTCAAACATAAGGTATTATGCCCTGAAACACCAGAGCTCCTTGCTGTATGCTGGAAAGAGTCTGACAGTTGTAGGAATTTACTCGTTGTGCTGGAAGATCATACGGAGTTGAGGAGAGGTTGGCTCAGCAGGATGGCTCTGCAGGAGCCACGCTTGGCGAGACCTGTGCATGCACAGGGCTAGGGCCTGCCTGAGCATCAGGCATCATCAGTGTTTCCCTGTGGCCTCTTTGGCTGTTTTCCACACTGGAAGACCCACTGCTCTGTCGGCAAAGCAGGGTGAGCCCAGCAAAAAAACCAATATCAGCAAGCAAGCAGCAAGGCACCTTTCAGAGTGAGGTGGTAGGTGAGACCAGCAGGAGCATTTTGGTAATGTGGGCAGGAATAGGTCTGCTCAGTCTTTGATGACAATTTCTCTTTGAACACAGAGGGTAGGATTTCTGCTGCCAGACATGCGCAGGAAGTGCCTGTGTCTGTGCTCCTTGCTCTGGGGTGCCTTTTAGAGCTGAAGGAGAGAAACAGAAATAGCTTCTTGCTGGACTCAGTACCTCCTGAGGTGGGCAGCAAAAGCAGCTCAAGGACATGCATCTCCAGCAACTCTGGACACAGCCTGGGGTCCTTGCTCAAACATAAGAAGTTGCTTGTACATACCTAAAGCAAATGCCTAGCAAATGCTGTATGCCCATAGCAGCCACTTGCAAACACTGCATATTGCTAAAAATCACTGCTCCCCTTGGACACAGTCCCTCTTCAAAGCGGGGCTGCCTGTGGGCTGCCCACACAGTTGCTGCCTGCCAGCAGCATCAGGCTGCCCAGCACACAGGGCAAGGGTGAGCACCTGGACCACAGGGAAGTGCTTGTTTGCAGGATCCCTGCTTGCTTTCTGTGCAAAACATGCCTTTGACACCTCTGCCCAAATGGCAGGAACTTAGTCTGAGAGATGAACCCAACAAATAGAAGAGACTGAAGCTTCCAGCCATCTGGTACCTCTCCCTCTTCACCCCAGATAAGCTGGAGCTACCTGTACAGCAGGACCAGCTCACCAAAGCCTGGATAAACTGAGGCAAAAAGCATCTTTTATCCTGGAAATGAGATAGCTTGACTGCTAGCCCTGGCAGTCAAAGTCAGAGGAGGCTGGTGGTCTCTCTGCTGGAGCAGGGCGCTTCCACAGCAGCTCTTCACAGAATCCTGTGATATCTGGTAAACAAGAATCAGGCCCATGGTACAGTAGAAGCACGTTTGTATTGTATATGAATTAGTGATACTCAATTCTATGTATGAGGAAAGGATTTTTGGCAGGAGGAACGTTTTGTCCCCAGAATTAATCCAAACACAAATTCCATTTAGTCCTGACGGCTGCAGCAGGAGCAAGGAGCAAGGGGCTGTACTGCCAGCCCTGGCCTTTCAGCATCCCAGTGCCTACAGGGATGAAAAGCCAAAGATGACCCCACATTGTTTCAAGATGTCCATTGTGAAGGTGCTCATGGCAAGGGCAAAATTTCACCTCCTGGCTTCACCTCTCCCTTCTTTCTTGTTGCTGTCCTTCCCACGTTTGCAGCCCTGTGTGTTAAATTGCTGCTGCAACAGGTGCTGAAACTTTTCTTCTCCCCTTTAAGGTTTATGCACCTCTTTCCTCAAAGGAAAAGAAGAGGAGCAAGAAGGAAACTTGTATATTTGCTGCAAACTGTGACTGCCTTGTGCAATAATGCTGCCTTTCTCTCTTTCTCTCCATGTTTTAGGGAGTGCTGCCAATTTTTTGGAGACAATGGCTTGACTTTGAAGGCGTTTTTTACCAAGGCAGCACCATTTGGTGTTCTTTGGACACTCACAAACTACCTTTACTTACATGCAATAAAGAAAATAAACACTACGGATGTCTCCGTGTTGTTCTGCTGCAACAAAGCTTTTGTGTTCTTGCTTTCATGGATCGTTCTGAGGGACAGGTTCATGGGAGTGAGGGTAAGTGAGTCCTTATCTCTGTCTCCCTTCTTCCCCCTTGCCCTTCTACCTTTACTTTTCCCTTTCCCTCCCACCAGCCGAGTTGAGCAGCACTCCACACAGACAGATGCGCAGGCACAGAAATCCTTGTGGAGCTGGGAGGAATCCCTCCCTGCAGCTTGCCCAGGCACCTTTGAGCTCCCAGAGCTCTGTTTCCCCCAGCCTGCTGCCTTTGTGCATTTTCCTTCAGAAAAGAGATACCGTGCTCCAGAGCATAGCATGATATCACCACGTTCCTGTGGATGTGCATCAGCCTTTGCCTGCCTCTTGCCAAGTGACAGTTCCCAGGCTGTGGAATTAGACCTAAGCAATTTCAAACTGCACATTCTTGCAAGCCCAGGCTGCACCTGAAGTGTTTCTTGTTCCAACCTGTGAATTTTACAGGGCACTCACCTTTCTTACACACAGCAGCAGGCTTGAAGAGCAGCACAGTTAACATGAGTACCCATGTCAGTCAGCAGCAGCTGCAGAGAGGACAGAGCTGGGCTGCCCTTGCCCACCCATGGCTGAAGCGTGTGTGTGCTTTGCTGGTGCAGGTTTGGCATGATGCTGGCACATGGGGACTGGTGTCTGGCCAGCAGCCACGGGCACAGGGCCAGGCAGCATGGCAGGCAGCAGGGTGGCAGGACCGCTCCTCCAGGGCTGCTCTCCTGGTGGCATCCCAAATATTTCCTTACACCTTTAGTCCTGCATCCCACATGAACAGCCACTCCACAATGGCAACAGAGCTGTGTGCAGGGCAATGGGGTATCAGAAACCCCTGCAGCTCTCTGCTGACCCTGCTGCAGTTTTGGTGGCCTTCAGCATGCAGTGTCCTCTGAGAGCAGAGCCAGGTGGGTGGGTAATGCACTGCCCCTGGACCAAGAGAGTCCTGCCAAGGCCAGGGGTAACTGCAAGGAAAAGGCACTGGTGGGTCCTTCCTGCCTTACTGCATCAGTACGTGCTTATCAACATTAATAGCAATAATAGCAATAATACCTATTTTCTCCACACCATTTGTGGCGCCCTCTGCTAACTCATCCAGGCAATGCTTTCAGCCTCTTGGTTGTTAGTCCTTGTTGCCTGGAGCAAATGAGAGTTAACTGTTTGGGAAGTATTCCTCTCAGGCAGGAGAGCTTGGCCAGCCTTGCAGTGGTGGATGCCAAGAGGCTGCTTAGGGAGTCGTTTCAAGATGTACCTGCCAAAAGCCCAGCCTGGCCAGCTGGTGTCTGCACTTGCCCGCCCACCTGCCCAGGTAGCTGTACCCTGAAAACACATTAACTGGGGTTTTTGAGTACCCCAGAAGCAAGGGTATCCTCAAACGATCCTGGAGGCAGGGAAGTGTCACACTTACCATAGCTGGACATGCTGATCATTTTGATAAAGGTGAAAAAAACAAGAACATATTTTTGTGGTATTCAGCCATCTTGTGGCACTGTCAGCTGTAGCACCTGAAGGAAGTGTGTAGAGGTCTTCTGTGTGTGCAGCTTGGTCCTTGCTATGCACATGCCACCTTTCACTGCTGGGTATGGCTGTGGTCTGAAGGGAAAGAAGCTGACCTGCATGTAGGAATACCCATACTGGCATGCACACACTGGAGCAGAGATGCTTCTCGTGCTCTCCTGGCTGCATGGACATGAATGAAGAGCCAGGGTGGTCAGGGGCTCCCCAGTAGCATCCCAGGCAGGCCAGGTCTTGTGCCACGATGTGCTGCGAACAAATCCTGCTCTGGATTCCCCCTTCCCAAAGCAGCAGCAGAAGGGGAGCGAGCAGGGAAGCAGCCCCCAGTGGTGATCTCAGCCATGTCCAGCTGTCCTTCATTTGTTATTAGCACTGCCTTGGGAAAGGCTGACTCAAACAAAACCCAGCAGCTACGAAGCAGAGACCCAGAGCAGAGGCCAGGGCGATGAAGGTCCTATGATGCTTCTGCCATGCATCCCAGCCCCTCATTGTGGTACCTGGAACTAGGAAGGGGTGGCAGCAGTTGCTTCCTGAGAAGCCACCTCCTTGCCTAAGGAGGAACACTGACCTCTCTCTACCCTGGTGACAGGCTACAGCAAGGGGCCTGCGCCCAGAGGGAGGGGTCTTTTCAGGAGGACTGCTCTATTTGCTCTTGGGCAGGCATGTGATCCTGACTGGTGACAAAATGTGAGTGAGGAGATGTTTGTCTCTAGAAACTGGCAGGGCATGGGGCAGCACAGCAGTTCTGCTACCCAGCTTTGTTTGCCCCGTGGGTGGGCTGGGGATGCTTCTGGCTGTGGAAGGATGTAGTGTGGAATCTCCTGGCAAGATGCATTTTCTTCCCCCTTAACTCCCTTTTCTGTGCAGATCAGGTGAAAAACAGTACTGCCTGGCATGCTGGGGGATAGCCTTGGGAAAAACCCCAAAACAAAGCCTTCTTCCTGGGACTGCCAACCAGGAGGAGGGGCTGGGAGGGGCTTCTCCAGAAGCCACCTAGGACTGCAAGCCCACACACAGCGCAGCCCCAAAGCTCAGGGTCACACTGTGTCAGAGCTGCTGACCCTTTTAGAAGCATCCTTTGAAAGGATATTTGGCAGAAGAGGCTGCAGGGGGTCGTTGCCTTGCCCTGTGGTGAGCAGGAGTCCTCCCACACTCCCACTTGATGCCCCTCACAGCGCAGCAAGATGGATTGTGCCGCAGCAAAGCTCTAACCACACAGGTGTCCCTGTTCACACCTGTGGCAGGACAGGGTAGGTGAGAAAGGCAGTGTACTTAAGCACATAGAAGTATCCTACTTGGCAAGTACAACTAGTAGCTCTACAAGCACTTAAATCACAATTTGCCTGGGATTTCAATGTAAGAGCAAGCTACAAAATTCCATCATCGCCTCATGGGTAGGATGTAAGTAAGTGCCTACATCTGCTGTATTGAGGCTGCACTTCTCCTCCTTTCCCTTCACTGTGTCCAGAGCAACCATCCAACTAAGCTGCGAGCTGTTGTATTGCTCTCAGAAAACCCTCACATGTAAGTGTAGTGAAGCTGTGAGTGCCTGAAGTGTTGCCCCTGAAAGCCCTGTGGTGCTGAGGCATTTGCAAGGAGGTATGGGCTGGTAGCCATGGTGTGGCATAGAGCAAGCAGCCTGTCACTGCTGCTAACAAGGTGCTCGATAGACAGGCTGAAAGGCTTCCAGGAAAAGTGCATGTGACATGCCTGACCTGTCCACAGGCAAGGCCAGGACTCACCCGACATTTCTGGTATGCTTGATAGAAGAGGCAAGGACTTCTGCCCCAGAAAACTATTTGCAGACTGCATTTATTTGCTTTGATCTTGGACTTTGGTGTTTCCCTCCACGCAATGGTAATTTAAGAGTTCAGGATTCAAGAGAATCATCACTTGCAAGTACTTCCTGTGTGCCTAATGCAGAGCCAAGCACACCTGCCAGTAGGACTTGGAAATAAATATACTATCAAATCCCAAACCATAGTCTTCCTTTCCAACCCGGCATAGATCTGGCCTCCTGGGAGGTGCTCTGAAGTCAGCCAGCCCCTGAGAGAAAGCCAAACTGGATGCTTTTTATTCTGCAGTTCATTAATACATCTTCCCAAGTTTCCACTGCAGTGGAGCTGCTGCCACCAGCAGGGGCTTGGACAGGCTCCCTTCACCAATGTGCATGGAGGTACCAGCTGGTTGCCACAGACTGGCATGTGGCTGTGGTCTCCCCTGGTTCTCCAGAGAAGACTAGACAATGACCATGCATTTTGGGTGGGAGATGGCCGTGCCTGGAACTAAATACTATAGGAAAAACTGCATCTACCACTCCTTGTCTGGCAATATGAAAGGCTGGAGTTGCCCTTATCTTTCAGATAAGCCTGATCCATGTATCTTGCAGCTCTACTAAGAGCCTTACTGAATCAGAGCAAAGATACATCTGCCCCAGGAGCCTGGCTCCAGCAGCTGCCAGTAGTGGACACCCAGAAAAATCTAAACAGGAAAAGTCTATAGTGATATTTCCTCATGAGACTTTCCAGCCTCTAGCAATTTGAAGATCAAGGACTTCCTGAGATGGAAGTGATGTTCCTATAGTTGGTATTCCTTGATGGCTTTTTATTTTTTTTCTTCCATCAGTTTATCCTTGCAAGCTTTTCACATGCACACTGTGCAGCAGCAAAGCTTTTCTTGGCTGAATTATGGTTTTGGTGAAGATAAATCTATTTTTATTTGTTCTGCACCTGTCTCATGCTAGTCTCATTTGATGACCTTTTTTTTCTTGTGCCTCTGAAGCCACACAGTGTGTGAATTTTTATTTGACAAGCACAAGCATGATGACGTGAGAGAACTTGTGAGGGATGCCATGCTCCTTCCATCCTGCCTATCTGAAAGAGCCCCACATTGCTGCAGAGCCATGCATTGGGGTTTCTTCACTTCTTGTCTTAAAAAGAAGCCTGTCCAGGACCACAGGACCCAGTTACAACACCACCAAGCTTCATTTTAGAAATTATACCCCATGGCTGTGCATGGAGAGATCTGATGCTGACAGGGCTGCATGCCAAGATGCCATATCTGAACCTCTCCAGATTTGCAGTGTGCACACCCAGCCTTTGCAGCAAGCACTGGGCACCACTCTGATCAGCATGAAGATCCATGAATCAGCATCTTCAGAATCTGCTGCCCCTCGGCTGGGCTATGCAAGGGGCTGAGGGGAAACCCTGCCCCTCCATAACCTGCCAAAGCAGGACTCATGCAGCAGGCTGAACAGCAGTACAGCAATTTCTAGACTTAAGCCCCATGTTGAGATGCTATTAGCATCTGTATTTTACAGGCAGTGTCAACTTCTGCCAATGTGAGGTTTTTTTCAACCCTTAGGCCACCCTGCCATTCTACAGCAACACCTTTGGAGAAATCAATTCTCCTCTGTTTGCAAAAATGTCATATGTTTCTGTTAGGGGAAAGTGGAGGTGTTAATGTCAGCATCTGCTGGGTGCTTGTCTGTGGAAGCTTTTTAAGTACCCCTGGCACCAGCCCCAGCTCAATCCAAGGAAGGTGCTGCTGGGGTGGGGACCTGCAGCTGTCAAATGGGTTCCCCCCCACTGCAGCTGCCTCATCAGGTAGCAGCAGAGTTTGGTCTGCATCTTCACAGCAGCCCCAGCACCTCTGGTGATGAATGGGAAAGGTGAGAGGTGTCTGTTGCTCTTGGATGTGTAGGCAGCCACAGCCTATGCAGTCTTTGAGATGAGGCTTAAAACCCTGGTCATGCTCCAGGAGAGTGGACAGTTGGCTGGCATCCCAGTAATCTTAGAAGCATCACTATGACTGTGCAGCCAAAGGAGATGTGGTCTGAGCAGGGCATTCCTCAAATCACTGCAGAGCCAGGAAGCATGGAGAATGCAGAAAGCCCTTTTCACCCCAGAATTATCACCTGGGAAGGCTTGAAGCATCTGACAGGACAGTCCCAGAGAAGCCAGGGGTCTCTTGCTGTCTGTGCTGAAGCAGGGGCAGCCCTGTCCCTTTCATTCCTAAATGCTATCATCCTTTGGATGACCCTCCTCAGGAATTGCTGGGGGCCTGACTGGCCAACTGAGCCTCCCTCTACTCTCTAAAATGACATCTCTAAACAGGAAAGTTGTTGCATAAGTTTTATTTCCCTGTTTATTTCCAAAACCTTTTTCCTCCCAAAACTCCTCAGGACTCAGAGCTTTCTCTGCAACCACTAGTGAATTATTACTTGTGTATTACTGTCATGCACAGGCTTGCAGGGACTTGCAGATGAGGAAGCTCAATGACATAGATGAAATTTCCCCTTCAGCTCAGTCCCAGATGCAGACCCTGCAGTCTGGCTGGGAACACACTGCCCTGAGGCAGCTGCTCCTTCCCAGCTCTGCCTGCAGCTTCTCCACAGCCAGGGAAGCCACGAGGGGAGGCAGCACCCAGCATCAGCCCTACGGGTGTCAGCCTGGACTTGCTACTCATTTTCTACATACGGAAGGGAGCAGATGATGCAGCAGCACTGCCCTTTCATTTAAAGCTGCTCTCATGTCTTTCCATGTTGGGGGTTGTCCAGTAACACTTGCTTTCTTTCTTTGTCTCCAACCAGATCGTGGCTGCTATATTTGCTATTGCAGGGATAGTTATGATGACGTATGCTGATGGGTTTCACAGCCACTCTGTTATTGGTATAGCCCTGGTCGTGGGGTCTGCCTCAATGTCTGCTCTTTACAAGGTAAGCATGCCTGGATCTTCATGCCCAGAAAGATTCCAATCACCCCTGTCACTCAAACTGCTCCTCTTGCAAACCTTCATGCAGTTCAGTGCCACCTGCTCTTCTTTGAGGGCTTCTGCCAGAAAGACACTGACTCTGCCACACTGCATTCAGGTATTTTCTTGCTTTGATGTCTGCCCTCACTTAGGACAAAACCTCCTATTTCCTGGGAAGAGTCTTTTCTAGTGCCCATGGGAGGACTTAGAGATACCCCACCTACTTGAAGAATGAGGCTGCTTTTCCACAGGTGCTGGATTTAGTTACTCACTCTGGAAGTGCCCTGCAGAGATTTAGCTTCTTTTTCAAGTCACTGTGTTTTCAAGTCACTGTCATTCTTGCCAGTCCTTCCTCACTGGCATTCATAGCCTACGTTGGACTGGAAGTATTGCTTATCGTGGAAGTAATCACATGCTTCAAAACCAAAGCACATGTCTATGAACCAAGGTCTCACCCTGACCAGCCAGGCACACTGCTTGCACTAAGTGTAAGATGACATGCAGCCTTCTGTGCTTGGGCAGAGCTGTTCACTTAGTCTGAGACACATATGGGCATTTGCCTCTGTGCTGCTCATGGTGCTCAGAGTCACAATCCTCAGGGACTAATAAGCACTTGGGGCTCACCCACCCTAGCTCAGATGTGGAGGCTGGGATGAGGTGTAGGCGTCTCCATCTGGTCTAATGAATTGCACCACAGCAGTTCTCCAATAGAAACTGGAGCAATTGCAGTCAAGCCCTGCAGCCTTAGCACAAACAATCCAGGGAGATGCGCCAAACCGAGAAGCATCTGTCTGTGTCTCTCAGCACTGTGCTGCAATGCTTTCTGCTCACTTTTGCAGATTGTTCTATGTCTTACATAAGGGAAGTCAAGAAGTTTCATGCAGCTCTTTGCTCTAAGAGAGCATTTCCTTGCAAGACCAGAGATATGGCCCTCCACACCCGAAGAAGGGCCACGACTCTGGAGTCATCTTCAGGCAGGGAGGGTTCCTCAAGGCTAGTGTTGCTCTGCTCCCTCTCCCATGGCACCTTCACTCCTTGGAGGGACAGAAGGTCTTAGGGCTGCTCCACCAGAGTCCATGCACGGGGAGGTGATGGTGGCAGTGCTGGCAGGGTGTTACTCAGCACCCCATGAGCAAAAAGAGATGGAGCTGTGCAGCTTGTTTTGCAGCAAATGCCACTCTGCTGCTGCTCCCACTCTGCTTTCCGCAGGCTGGCTCAGTTTCCATGAGCTGTGCATGCCAAGCAGGCGGGCAGATCTGCAGGCAGACAAGCTGTGCCACATGCAGGGCAGCTCTGCAGGCAGACAAGATGTGCCACATGCAGGGCAGATCTGCAGGCAGACAAGATGTGCCACATGCAGGGCAGCTCTGCAGGCAGACAAGATGTGCCACATGCAGGGCAGATCTGCAGGCAGACAAGATGTGCCACATGCAGGGCAGCTCTGCAGGCAGACAAGCTGCACTACATGCAGCAGAGCCAGCTCCATCTGCCCTCCCACCCCAGACATGGACATTTCAGTCTGTCTGTGCCTGCTGCCTGTCCTGCCAGGGGAAACATGCCATCCTTGGGTGGCAATGAGGAGTAAACGTCTTTCAGGACATTTTGCTTAGTTATGCTGAGTGGCAACACAGCTGCAGTGTCCAGTGGTGGCTGCGAGGTGGGGGGATCTGGCAGCCGCCCTGCAGTCTTGCCTGCCGGGGGCTGGTTAGGCAAAGGGAAGAGACCAGTGACACTGGCGAGGGGACCTACCATCCCAGAACAAGCCAGTAGGTCACACTCCATTGGCTCTCCTGGTTTGCAGCCCATGAAAAGGAAAGCTGTACCCAGAGCCCATGGGATCCATCGGATCCTCTGCAGTTCTGTGGTGGAAAACTGGTGCAGACCCCAGCCCAGTCCATGGGGGCTGCCCAGAGGGGCAACTCACACCCCTCATTTCCCCACTCTTTACCCTTTCTCCCACTAACAAACCAAAGCTTTAAAATCCCTGCCCATGGCCTTGTTAGTCAGGCTTCAGTGGTGTTCTAGGCTACAGAGCTGCTGCTGTGCTATCTGCTTTCTGGGAACAAGAGGGTCCCCAGAGGTGTGGGCAGGCCCAGGCTGGGCTGGCACCCTAGGGAGGTGCCAGACACTGCTGTCCTCACTGCCTGAATCTGCAGAACAGTGAGCTGCTCCCACCTTCAGGGAAGATGGACGTGCTATGCATTGTTACAAAATCTCATTTGTCTTCCTAAAAAACTCATGGGAAGCAAGCATCTGGCAGAGGAAAGGAGCTGCTTCTCTGTGTGGCTGCTGGAGCTGCTATCAGCTGGTATCAGAGAACCTGATACTTAAGGGGAAGGAGTTTTGTTGTTTGGTTGGTTGGTTTGGTTTGGTTTTAGGTATTTGTAATTTTGCCTTTTGCTGCTTCCCACTGGCCAAATCTAACTTTTAAAACCCCACCAGGGAGCTTAAAGTCATGAATGAGAGAGGGAGGCTCAGCTCCCACAAAGGGTGGTTTGTCCAGGGCTGCTTGGGGCAGTTCTGGTCATGGTGTCCATAAGCCCATCCCCCAGATATCCTGCAGCCTGTCTGGACCATTGCAGCACCCAGTGTCAGCAGCCTTCCCCATCTGGTGCCTGGGAGGAGGAAGAAATTCACAACACAGGAAAAAAAATAAATAACAAACCTCCCAGGCAAATAGGCCAGTCAAAGCAAAGAGGATGAGGATGGCAGGGAAATCCTCTGAGCCACCTCCTCCTCTCAGGCAGACAGGGGTGCAGAACTTGATAGGCTGAGGGAGATGGGGTTATTTAGCCTAGAGAAGAGGAGACTCAGGGAGGACCTTATCACTCTATTCAACTACCTGAAGGGAGGTTGTAGTTGGGTGGGGACTGGGCTCTTCTCCCAGGCAAGTAGTGACTAGACAAAAGTGCACAGCCTCAGGCTGCTCCAGGTTTAGGTTGGATATTGATGATTGTAAAGGTCTTTTCCAGCCTTGGTAGTTCTGTGATTCTGTGAGTAGTGATATTTCACATGGGGATCTCAACATGTTGCTTTGTCTCCTCCCCTCACCCTACTCCACCAATTTTCTGGTTTTAATGTCTGGTTTTCCTGTGGTTTTCCTGAAGGGAGCGTGCAGAAAACAGACCAAAGTGTCTAGACTGGGGTGAGCAATCTTCCCTTTCAGGAGATGCATGTCCAAAGCCCTGAGTCCCCTTCCCATGTGGTCTCATCTGGCAGCTCCCCCTGCCTGTGCTCCAGGGGTGGATGCCAGAAAGGAGAAGTCTGGCACACACAAGGTGCTCCCCACAGCTTCACCAGCAGCTGCCTCAAGTGTCCAGCAAGCATCACCACACAGGTGCTGACTGACACTGCTCAGCACCCAGTCCTTCCACAACAAGCACTGGCCAGTGGTTCAGGACACCAGGAGCTGCTGGAGCCAGAGCACCAGCCCTCCAGAGGAGAGGTGCAAGAGAATTAAAACCATTTGTTTTCCTCTTGTAGGTTTTATTCAAACTTCTTTTGGGCAGCGCTAAATTTGGGGAAGCTGCCTTATTCCTCTCCATGTTAGCTGTCTTCAACGTCCTCTTCGTTACCTGTATTCCTGTCATCCTTTATTTTACCAAAGTGGAGTACTGGAGCTCTTTCGACATCGTTCCTTGGGGAAATCTCTGTGGATTTTCAATTCTCTTATTGAGTGAGTAGATGGGGCGTGGGGGAGCTCATGCACTCTTTGGGGTGGAGGAGGGTGCCAGAAACTGGCTGCTGAGGGAAGCTGTAGGTTTCCCACATGCTGGAGCTGGTTTCCCTTCTTCTAAACCTAATTACTATCTTGAAAAATTATGCAGAGGGTCCATTCCTAAATGGCAATATAGACCCCACTCCTGCTGTTATTACCAAGTCAAAGTATTGTGGCCATCATTAGAAGACACTGAGGGACTAAACTGGAAAGTTTGTCCTAAATCCTACTCATGAACTCAGCCTCATGGAAACAAGTAGCTTGGCTATGTTGGGAAGGAGCCTTCCTTACTGCAGGGAAGGCTCATCAGCAGGCCAGGCCAGTCAAGGCCAGCCTCCAGCACCTCTGCTGATTTCAGTAACAGCTAATTGCTATTCCTAAAGAACAGGAAACTTTTGAAAATGTATAGTGCTGATGGGAATTTTGTAGGTGGCACTCCTACTGCCATGCTGTGCCACCAAGGGAACCTGTCTTGGGAGGGATGACAAACATAAGTTTTAATGATTCATAGTCATGAGAAATGTGATGCTGTTTCTTGTTAAACTAGATGTGTTGACTTTGCTGCCACAGTTGGTCCCGAAACTGGATAATGGCATCGTATCTCCTAACACATTCCTTTCCTTGCTACTAGAAATAGGCTGTCTTTATCCCTGTCTTAAGTCCAAGCTCCTTTTTACCCTGAACAGTCACAACACTTGACTCTAGAAGTAGCTCCAGTTTCCTTATGGGTGGACTCAATGGAAGGTTTCTGTGAGCAAGTAGTGTAGAACTTGCAAGTGATCGCTGGGGTGTGCAATCTATAGGTGCTACTAGAAGACAGTCAGAGGCCCAGCTGCTGGTCAGTTCAGTATTGGCAAGACTCTCCTGACTTTGCTAAAGCTAATCCTGTAAAACAAGGGATAAGTTGGTCGAAAGCAATTATTTATTCATGAGACACTCCATGAACAGTGTATGGTATTACAATGGAATGATATTATAATAATTCAGTTGTAATGATATTATAATTGCATTGTATGAAATACTATTTAGCAAGTCCCTATCTGGAAGAGGGTTAGATTTACAGCATTGTCCACCTGCAGATGGAGGCAGCTTTTCTACAAAAAAGTACCCAGCCAGCAATGTTTGGCTGAAATCTCCCAGATTAAGAGCATTTAGTCCTTCAGCAGGGCCAGGTGGATTAGTGCAAAGAGTGGGAATCACAGCACGTTGTGCTGGGAGACAGGTTGTACCCACCTGATCCTGCCACTGGACTCCTGTAGGATGTAGAGCTCCCCAGAAACAGCAATGTCTCAGGCAGGTGGACACGCAGCAGACAGACATCCATTCACAGGTATCTTCCAGGATTAACAACAGAAGTTTAATATGACTTCTATTTGAACAACATGCTGAGGGAGTAATAAAGCAAAAAAAATGACGTATGACATTCCCTCTGCCTAGCTTCACAGTAGTAAAAGGTGTTTTTCTTTCCTTCTTCAGCATTCAATATTCTACTAAATTTTGGGATTGCTATTACATACCCAACCTTGATTTCTCTTGGAATTGTACTGAGTGTCCCAGTGAATGCGGGTAAGAATTTCTGTCTTTTGCATCTTAATGAAGACATTAAATCTGTGGCCTTTCAAATACACAACAGGAATAAAAGCAAATAGCTTTATTAAACATGCTTTACATTTTCACTCAAAGCCTTACAGAGATGAAAATTTATACTGTGTGTGTTAAATATGTATTGTGTGGTATTACATGAATATTCATAATCTCTAGAATTGGTTTTTAAGTCACTGTCTGAAGAAGCCAGCATACTGAGAAACAAAGTAAATTTTAAGTCATCCATCTCCATGCTGGGTGAAAACTCATGGAAGGAGTATAAATAAATTCTTAATGATTTCTTCAAGGCAGGATTAACACTAAATTGAAACAAATACAATTGCTTACATTTTAAAAACAAATATACACTAGTAATTCTGCTTGCCTTGGTCAATAGCAGGTGTTTATCAAGATCTTGAGACAATCCAATTTTGGGCCTTGGGTTTTTCTGACAGTTTTCTGAAATGCAGCAAAAGCCAAGAGACCGCAGAGCCTGAGAGGGCTGGGTAGGGGAGTGCACAGGCAACCCTGGCCAAAACCAGAGGCACCTCTCCCAGGCCATGCTCCTAAAACCCAATATGCTGAGCTGGTGCCACGGCACAGGCAGCATTTCCCAGCTTGGTGCTGACTAAGCACACAGACAGCTGGCATGGCTGGCTGCCCCAGCAGATTTTCATACCAAACAGCGTGATCTCTGCTGGAATGCTTGGGGTGTGCAGGGTCTCTTATCCAGTGGGGCAGTCAAGCTGAAAAAGAAGTTTGCAAAAAGGAACTGCCACGCCAAGGAAGGGCGATGCCCTTTTCTCTGAGTACCCTGTGCTCTCCAAGTTCCTGCACCGTCAGTGAGCAAGGGCCAAGATGCTGCTGCAGATCAGTGCAGCTGCAGGCAATGGTTCCTTTTGCACCCTGAGCCCACGGGCCAGCCCTGCCTGCTCTGAAGGGTGCTGTATCCTGCTATGTGCTAAACTAGCAGGAAGGGTAGTCTTCCTGCTGCCATCTCCTCTGTGATCACGTTCTTCTGCCCCAGCCAGCCTCAGAGCTGGAGAGGCAAGGGGGAGGGGATACTGCCCTAATGCTTTGTCCCACGTAATAACACTCGTTCCATGTCCCACACAGTTGTTGATCACTACACGAGTGAAATTGTCTTCAACAGCGTCCGAGTAATCGCTATCATCATTATTGGCCTGGGCTTCCTCCTGTTGCTCTTGCCAGAGGAATGGGACGTCTGGGTAATAAAGCTCCTCACGCGTCTCAAAGTCCGGAAGAAGGAAGAAATCCCCGAAGGAAACGGAGACATTGCTTCAGGACTGCCTAACAAAAGCCGGAGAACTCGCCCTTCCATGTCATCCTTTGCTCATTAAATGCTCTTTTTACCAAAACTTTGTGGTTAGCCTTGTATATGATGATGCAAAGGTCTTTTCCTGGGAAGAAGCACACCTGTCCAACATGGTGTACATACCTGTACAGTTTTGATATGATCATCTAAGGCATCGAGTCTTGGCATGTCCAGTTTGCTTGTACTTTTTTCACATCAGACCTTTCACTTAAGTAGTACACTGAAAAAAAACTGCAAACCAAGAACCTCTCTTCTCTTTTTAAATGAATGTAATATATAGTCAAATATATTTGCATAGGTTATTTTAAAGAATGATTTTCATGAAAAGCAGGGCAGACATTTTGAACATTAGGTACCGAATGATGCATTGCACACTGTGATTTAAAAGAAACAAATGCTATGCTACATCACACGTTTATTTTTGACCAGAGCCGTAACCTGAAAGTTTCAAGGAACCAAAAAGGGAATCTTTTTGAGGATGGGAAGATGGGGCAAAGAGTGGAAAGGAGAAGGTTTGGATATCACTCTGTGTAGATGAGTGCATGTTGCACTGCAACCAGAAGAATACTCAAGAGCCAAAATGCTTGCACTAAAGCACTAGGGAGAAAGAGAGAAAGCAGTGTAGAGCCCAAATCTCCTTATTCTGCACATGACTGTAGTCCACGTTTAAAATCATGCAAGAGAAAATCCAGTGCCTTCTACAGAACTTGTCTTTATCCACGCAGAACCAGGTCCTGCCATAAAGGCTCTTGCAACGGCAGGGCTCAGGCTTGCAGCCCCAGGGGACCCCAAATTCCCACCGACGCCAGGACACGCCTCCCATACACACTGTGGCTTCTGTGGGAACGTGGGGCCCAGGGGACTGCAAGTTTGTGCACAGGAGACCTGGTTCTCTCCTCACTTGCACAGGTTTTACCCCTGTGTGGAGCTGCGCTTGATTAACACCAGGGTAGGGAAGAAATCTTGGTCATGTGTGGGACAACCCGACCGAAAATTATCAAAGGGGCTGGCAAGAGCGTGGTTGCTGATGTACAGTCTGAGAGCACAGACTAAGGGGGTGAATCACCAGTTGCTTTTACTCCATAATTGTGAGTGTCAAGAGTTAAAAATGTAAGATATTTACATCAAATGTAACACTTTTTATGAACCTTGTAAGCACCAGGATGTTTACTTATGCGATTTTGGTTCGCCATTAAATTTCTATCTGTGATAGATCACATGCTATGTAAAAAAAGGGGGGGAAGAAGGTTATAGTTTACTATTTTTGAAGTTTACATTGTTGCATACAAAATTTAAAGTGTTCTTTTGAACTGCTGCCATAGCCTATGGGTCCCTGCTGCCACTGAGGCTCTCTTTGTCTCAGGCAGGGGTCCACTTCAAAACATCTTAGCAAATCAACTTCAGATTCCATTATCTGTTTGGCAAAGCTAATTAATAAAATATTTTAAATGCAGCCTCTGTCAATGCTGTTTCCTTGACTGCACCTTTATTTGTTTTACTGTGGGTAGTATTTGGCCAAAGCGATCAGTAGGGAGAGACAAGTTCATTAAAGCAACTAAGGTGGCAACTGATCTGCTGCTTGCCAGTGTCTCCGTGACAGGAGAAGCTTTAGGCTTTCTGGACGAACTCATCTGGAGGGTTGGTGTCAGGTATCATTCAGGAAAGCAGAATGCAGACCAAAGGAAGAACTCGTCTTCCTTTGAAACTATTGCTGAGCAGCCGTAAATGCATATGCTAACAGGTATTTGGGGGCTATGGATGGGACATGAATTAGTACATTCATAATTAAGCCCCAGTCCAGGGTGTATGTTGTTCCCTACATAATCTCTTCATGGCCAAATAGACACCGAAGACTTGCCAATAGAGCTTGCACACACAAGCAAAATCTGAGGCTGTGGGAATCTGCTCACAACCACTTTCCCATTCAGAACTACCCACTTGAATTAGTGTCTCTGGGACAAGTCATCCATCCCCAGCTCTCCAGAGTGCTCTGTAACACCACCAGTGCAATAAGGAGTTGGTCAGGGTTAACAGAGACAGTATCATCTACCTATAGTGAAGGAAACCACAGCAGGTGGACACCATTTCTGGTCAAAAACTTTTCTGCTACTGTACCTGTGGAAAGTGAAGGTTTCTCTGTGTAGTCAATGCGGACGTCTGAATTTAATTGTGTAGCTCTAGATCATATTCCAAATAAACACACAAGTCTCCACAGCAGAAACAAAAGTGGAACACTCCTCCTCTGTGATGAAAAGGATATCACAGGTCTCCAGCACTTCAGAAGCCCTAGAGACAGGACCAGTCACTTAACTACCTGGACTCAGAAAGCAGGTTGGGGTTGGGCATTTCTTTGATCAATGGGGAAAGAACAGAAGCCAGAAGCAACGCATCTGGTGTGAAGCAGGAGCACAGGAAAGATGCTGATGGGATAGATGCTGATGGGATCAGAACAGAAATGGGAAATACTTTCTCGGGAAAGATGCCCACCCGCCCCTTGCTACAACTCCAACTTGAAGAAATGGGGTCTGTGCACATGCTGTAGTCATAAACTACTGGGAGTTTGGCTCCATGTCCCTGATTTGTACTGCAGAATAGACAAGGTCTTTCAAGGCCTCCAAATCTGAGCTACTCCTTGGCAAAGGCCAAGGCTAAGAAGCTTCTTTCACAGTTCAGTACTCATGCAAGCTGTCTTTCTGGAAATGGCCAGCAGTAATGAATTTTGATGGATGAGTTTAATTGGCTCATTGTTATTAAAAGAGAAGCAATTAGATTTTCTTCTTTAGTTGGCATGTTCTAGGGCATTTCCATAATAACCTGCAACTTATCTTAAGTCCTGAACATCAAAAAAGGGAAATAAGAAAAAAACGAGCTGACTGCAGCCCTGCAAGAAGAGTAAGTTGCATAATACTCTCCTTGTGATTTTTGGCCAATTATATATCTAAAATGCCTTCCTGACTTGTAAACAAAACCATCTCTCTTTCACTGTGTGATTTTGGATTTGGTAAAGGCACTTGCTAGCTTGGCTGCTCAGAAAAAATATCCCATGTTTAAGAAGGATGTTGCCTTTGTGCATGTGGAAGAAGTCCCACTTGGTACGGTACATTTGTGCTTCACAGACAACCTCCATTGTGAACATAAGGCAATTGGTGCAGCTGATGGGCTATGAAATACAACACCTGAATGAAAGCATGCAGCTGGATTTTTAATAAAGAATTTTAGGATGTGTTTCACCCTTGGAAGAGAACTAGGAACCACTTCTTTGCTTTTAGTACATAACATGCTGCAGAAATTTGAAGGCATCCAAACGAAACTCAAAAGATTAGTTTTCTTCTTCCATTTATATAGCTTTGAAAATTGCAGTCTGGCTATGAAACAGAAAGATTCCCAGTTTCCCATCTAGCTTTCTTGCAAAAATCTGAGCATCAACACTGCTGCAAAGCAAGCTTGTCTCATCCTTGGTAAGCCTGGAGAGTTGCCAATCGGGAGCCAAGAGAAGAGTAAGAATTAGTCATTCTTCCCACCTTACCATGGCCTGCTTTCCTCAAAATACTCCTTTTCCTGTTGTCTTCTTTCCTAACAACTGAACAAAAATGGAATGTTGGCATTAAAAAGAAGTGCTTATAATTAATGCAAATGGCTTCAGCACCTGAGAAGAATCTTAAATCTCTAGTTGCTTTTTTCTTCATCATAATCACCACTCCTCTAGGTAGCCTAGTAGTTCTCACTGTGTTCCACAGAGTACTCCACTGATGGCCATGAGAGGTCACAAGAACAAGGAAGCCTTTTTCCAGCAGGCTTCAGACACACAGACATGTGGAGAAGGTGAAAAACATAGTTCTGTCTAGTCTTTCTCCTTCTGTCTCCACACCAGCCTGCACAGACAGCTTAGTCCTTCCTAGACAAATCCCCTCCAGTGCTAGCTGAAGGACTCACATGCCCAGCCCTCACACACACACACACAGATCTAATGCAGAAGCTCTGGTAACCTGTGTCTGTCTCTCCCTCAGTGTCCTAAGCCAGGTGCTCAATCCTCTATGTTCATGTCACACTGGCACTCTCTAGTGCAGGGATTCTCATCACAACACCCAACCAAGAAAACATTATGAGAAAATCAAGGTAAGAGCTCCAAGACACATTGAGTTGTGATAATGATAATGCACACTTTCTTAGGGATTAAGAAAATGGATTTGCTACAGCTTCCAAACAAAAGCTGGGACTCTAGCCTGGATAAAAGACTGAGGGGAGACCTCATTAATGCCTGTAAGTATCCATAGGGTGGGTACAAGGGGAATGGAGCCAGACTCTTCTCAGAAGTTCCCAGTGACAGGACAAGGGGCAATGGGCACAAGCTGGAACATGGGAAGTTCCACTGAAATACGAGGACAAAGTTCTTTACGGTGAGGGTGACAGAGCACTGGGACAGGCTGCCAAGAGAGGTTGTGGAGTCCCCTTCTCTGGAAATATTAAAATCCCACTTGGATGCAGTCCTGAGTAATGTGCTCTAGAGGATCCTGCTTTAGCAGGGGAGTTGGACTACATGACCTCTAGAAGTTCCTTCCAACTCTTGACAATTCCGTGATTCCATGATTCAGCCCTCCTTTATTCATCCAAAAAAGGAACTTTTTGCTGACTCATCCAAATCAGCTTAAGCATGTTATTGTTAAAAGGAAATTAATAAAAGTTAAACTCAACATGAAGTCATCATGAAATAATGAAGAGGAGTGCTTTGGATAAGGCCCTAGAAAGGACAGTATACATTTCTTAAACTTCTAGAATCTAATTTACCTATTTCAGATCTTTAGTTGCCAATGTTTGGTATTAAACACAAGGTTATGTAAAGAGAAAGAAGTTTTCTTTATAAACATGGACAGATCATTTAGCATTATCAGTGGCTACTAAATAATGAGCTCATTAATGATTAACTAAGGACTTCACTGTCTGTCAGTTCTTAAGCAATTCTCTTACAAAGCTCAGAAAATTATTGCCCAAAAAGAATTTAAAAAAAGCTATTTTGAAGATAAAAATTACCTGTCCT